GTCGCATGGTGGGCCTGGGCCTAATCGGTGGATAAGACCAACCACCCATCTCATCAGTAATAATAAGAAGTTTTCTTCATTAGGTCTCGTACTTAAATACTAAGTGGATGGTCGAATATCTTGATGTTGTATTTTATTTTTATTTATTTACTGTACCATTTTTTACTAGGGTATACATTAAGGGCCTGTTCGTTTGCCTAAAAAAAAGAGGGAAATCAAAGAAATGGAAAACTATTAAAATGAAGAATTGTTTTTGGAGTGTTTGGTTGGCTAAAAAAGAAGGAAATCAAAGAAATGAAATTGAAATGATGTTAGTTGTCACCTTATTATTGGATGATGTTTGTGATTTTTTAAGAAAACTAGTTTTGGAGTGTTCGGTTGGCGAAAAAAAATAAGGAAATGAATTATAAGAAACCTATTTCCTGTAGTTTCTTGTTTTCTTTTGTTCGGTTCATTCTTAAAAATAAGAAATGAAATGAGATGAGATGAGTTGTCATTGTATTATTGGGTGATGTGAAGAAAGATTAAGAAAAGTGTTTTCATAACTTTTTGGGATGAAAATGAAGAAATGAAATGTTAATGAGATGAGGTGAATTGTTATAATATTTTATTGGATGATGTGAGTGATTTGAAATGATGAGAAGAGATGAGTTGAGTGATGTTTGGATGAAAATAATATTTTATTAGATGTGATGGATGAGTGGTTAGATAAAAATCATATTTTATTAGATGATGTGGATGAGTTGTTGGATGGAAATAATATTTTATTGGATGTTGTGGGTGAGTTTTAGGGATGGAAATGGAGGAAATGGTGAGTTTTGAGATTTTCACCATTTCTATTTCCATTTCTTGGTTTTTAGAAAACAAACGAACAAGCCCTAAAGCAAAACCAAAAAGTTTAAAAACTCACCAGAGGATGACACCTCATCTTCCTCCTTCTGTAAATTTTTTGATGTGTCTTATCATCTATTTCGTCCATTTAAATTGCTATTATATCTCAACTTTTAATTTAACTACACACTCACACAAGGTTTTATACACGTGCAATGCGTGTTGTTAAATATTATGGTTAGCTATTTTTGTTTATTTCCTTACTCAAATTTATTTCTCGCTTCCGCTTTGATAGTTTTTGCTCACTTATATCTCTAAACTTTAACATGTGATTGTTTATTTTCTCTGATATTCATTTAAATGAGCTACACCCAATTTAAATTTTCATGTTGATGATTGAATTGACATGAAACAAATGTAATCCAAAGCCAAATTGAATTATCATATTATTTGGACTTAAAATCAAACTTGACATGCGAAAGTATAGTTATTGTAAAAGTGAAAAATGCTTTAAAAATAGCGTTATAAAAAAAAGATGAATAATTAGAGCTAATAAGACAAGATGATCGGTTAAAAGAGAGCTAAAATGACACAAAAGAGAATATGGAGTTTTTTCTCAGTCCTTGATAGACTTTAAAAAAAGTCATCAGTAAAAATTAATACTAACTCTAATGCACTTTTATATGGTAACATCATCCATATAATGTTATAGCTGTTTTAGTGCTAAAAAGTAATCTCTAATCAATAGCAGACAAGTGTCCTACATTATGCATAATCGAGCTAGCTCTTCACTTCAAAATACTCGAAGGCCCAGCTAGAACGACTCGACATCCCAACATCTCGTGACGGTGACTCAAAAGGCGTGATACATTGACACATAGCTAGGTCGACTTCTTGATCAACCTACTTGACCGACCATTCAGCCAACATCTTGCGAAGGCGACTCAAAAGACGGTACTTCTCGACATTCCACCGTACGAGTGGAATGACGATGACTACCTCGAGCCTCGAGCCCCCTCCTACGCTCTAATAGCTGATCACCCCACAATAAATATCATTAAATGCATGATGAGCGCCATCATTTTTCTGCTCCCAATAGTTTTTATGACACATCAGACCACATCGGCATCGCACGTCCCCATTTACTTCACATTAAATACCGAAGTGACCTCTTCTCCACTCGTCGAACGACACCTGTAAAGTAGATGCTGACTTGGCCGCCAGCCCATACTCCGTCGAAAGTTACCATTCTACCCCTCTAGTACCACTATAAATATGATTACTATTTTTAGCATAAAGGTAGGATCTTCATTTCTACCCATAGTGCTTAAGAACTTCTACAGTTCATTTACTTCTCCACTCAAGCAAATTATTGACTTGATCGTCAGAGGAACAACCTGGGAGCCCAACCCCGCCCTCTTATAATTTTCTAGATGTGCAGGAAAGAACATCACACTTTAAAACCGGACATTCGGAGGGTTAGAGAACCTCTGTCAACTAGATAACTTCTCCCATTGGCTGTTTGATATCAGCCATTAACACAAAGCATATAAAAGTACTAAATAAAGTTCATGGAAATCCTTTCTAAATATTCCTAATTTACTTAGAAAAATAAACTATTCTGTAAAATATTTAGAAAATAGCGTCTTTCATTCCTTTTGTTTCATTTTTATTGAGCCGACAACAATCCTTCTCCACCTTTATATTTTTCAATAAATTAGACTATATTTAGATACAAAAAATGGAAAATAAACCTTAAATTGGAAGTTAAATTTATATATCTTAATAATAGAATATCAAACAACTACTCTTTTCTTTGCTAAGTTTTGAAATTTTAGTATTTTTTTGTGATTTTGAATTTTGAGGGCGTGTTTTGAAAATTCTAAAACTTTGAGATTATTTTTTGAAAATTTTAAACTTTAAGTTGGGTGCTTGTAATTTTCATGTTTCATGTATTCGTGGTAAGCTTTTAAATGTCAGGGTATTTCTTGCAACTATGAAATTTAGTGGTGTTTTTTACAATTATTAAAATGTTAAATTATTTTTTATAAAATTTAGATTTTACCAGTCTACTAATAATTTTTAGATTTGATATGTACTTTTTATAGGTTTTGAAAATTTAGGGATTTTTAAAATTTTTAACTTTTAAAGAATTTTTTTTATAATTTTTATAATATTAATGTTCTTTTTGCAAATTTTTAAATTTTTAGGTGCTTAATAGTAATCTCTTGAATTCATCTTTGTTGCTTACAAGTTTTAAAATTTTAGAATTTTAGAGTGCTTTTTTATTATTTGAACTTTTGTGGGTGCTACTACAAATTTTAAAACGTCGAAGGTGCCAGATTTAAATTCTTTAAAGGTTGTTGTGAATTTTCAGATTTCATATTTGTTATTTTAGTTTTAAAATATCAGGATGGTTTGTGTAATTTTAAACTTTTCAATGTATTTTGTGTAATTTTTAAAACTTTTTGGGTTATATTGTAATACTTTATATATTATAGCATGTTACTTCATATATTATAGCATGTTAGTTCTTTGCGTTACGAAATAATACTTTAGAGCTATTTCATGTATTTTATTAATCTTATTTTTTAAAATTATTGAGATATAGGTACTTCACATGGGATTAGGATGAAATATAATTATGATTAAGATAAATTATGAGTTAAATAAAATATTCAAAATAGTGAAGGGTAATATTATATATATATATATATATATTGTTATGGTAATTTACCATCTAAAGATAAAAATGTCGAAAGATTGACTGCATAGGTCTACAAAGCCATGGTCCAAACCAGCTCAAGAAATTCAGAAGCCCAGCCGAGGTCAAGTCTATTGACCAGTCAAGCAGACGAGCCCTCTCTCGACCGAGAGTCGTCATAACCGACTCGAAGCGTGGGACCAGTCTGTCCCCCGCAATTTAGATGACTCCCCGAGCAGACGTCTCGATGGTGCTCTTGTCCCAAAACTCACTCGTTTGTCGGTCGGCAAATCATAATGATGACTCACGGATCAACCCGTCTCGACTAAAGGGATAAGATCCAACCAAGTTCACTTCAAATGTCACTTGACGTTACAGCATTGACCAGTCCCTTCAAGATCTACGCTCTAACAAGGATTCCCTACATAAGCCGCTTATTCTACTCACAAATCGCATCCCAGAGATCGCCATGATGCTCTCATAGCCTCGAATAACTTCCCCTCTACTTACCGGCCGTCCTCTGGAGAAGGAAGAATGACCAAGTAGCTGGTCTATCCACTGTCACGCCTCACCTGTCAGGTCCAGGACACTGAGAATATGTTTCTCCCCTAACACTGATATCCACTGTCACGCCTCACCTGTCAGGTCCAGGACACTGAGAATATGTTTCTCCCCTAACACTGAATGACTTCCCTTCCAGTTGCCTGCCGATACCTGGAAAGTGAAAGATGACTCAGCAACCTGCCTGTTCACCTTTCAAACCGCCTCCTGTGTGTTAGACCCTAGAGGGGGGAGGGGGGGGGTTGATTAGGGTCTTAAGCTAATCTAATCCCTATTTTATGCCAAATAAAAGTGAATTGATTAATTTGTTCTTGCAAGAGATATATAAGATAGATATGAACAAGAATAAGCACAAGTAAAAAAATACGCTAAGCAAACACAAACACACGATATATTTACGAGGTCCGGTCCCCACGACCTACATCTCCACTCCTCACCTCGAGGAGATCTTCACTATCACAATCCAGTTTGGAAGCCGGAACTTCTACACACTCGGTTTACAAGTTTACTGAAAACTCTCACACAACAAATACTATGCAATCATACTTTACACACTAAGTGTAGGATTCTAGCCCGTGTCCTCCTCCTCAAGTCCTTGGATACAACCTCTCCCTAGGTTTGTCAACCGACGCCACTCCTATTGGATTCGACCCCGTCTCACGCCTCACACTTCTCTCGGTGTACAAGTGTATTACAAGTGATACTCACAATAAGGGTTTTAAATACAATGATTTGTTCTCGATAGTAAATGAGAACACAATGAAGCTCACTCTCACTAAATCACACACCATTACCCAATAATATATTATATGGAAATATTATAAGCTCAATACAGTGTGTGTGATAAAAGTGAAATGAAAATATGTAACTCAAA